TCTTTTTCGCATTTATTCTAATTCTCAAATATAAGTATATATAATCGCGATTTGGTTTTGATTTTAAACCGTTGGTTGACTATTCTGGATCCAATTTGAACTATTGGTTCAAAATTTCTTTTAAAATTTTGTTTTTTTTTTTTTTTTAATTTTTAAAATATTCTAAATTTAACAATTAATGCATTTTATTTTTTCAATTCAGAACATGAACTGGCAGTTTCAATTCGCGATTTTAATAAACTCTAAATATCAGGTTTCGATTCAAAATTGTCATCAGAACCTTTCTATTTGGTTGCTATAGTGTCTGTTCGGTTTAAATCAAATTGTTGTTATAATTTGTTGGAGAAGAAAAATAAATGAAATATTTATTTAACGGTAAATATGTCCATTTAACATATTAAGGTGAAAAACTGCAACTTAAATAATTTAGAAGGAAAAAATGATATAAATATATGAAAAAATGTGTCATTTTCCCCTTAAAAATATCAGTTATCAGTGATCATATCCATAATGTGCAGCATGGTCTACATCAATAGTTTGCCAATTGGGAACCTACTTTTACTCCAATCTTGTATTGTATTATTAATTTCAGCATTTATCCAAAGAGACATCAAAGCAATCAAATTTAACAATTCAATTTATTAAAAGAAGACTAATTAACAAATATCTTGTAAACCAATCAAGGGTGGTGGTTTTGTCTTTTGTGGGACCCTCCATTTGTCATGGTTTGTGAAGGATAAGCTCCCAAACCAATCAACTGAACTGCACCTACATCTTAACCTTCACCAGTACTCTCCCCCTTGGAGCAAGAAGACACCATTGTGGCCTTCTTTGAATTGAGGTCTTCACTACCATCCATGAAAAGCCTCCATCTTTGAATCCCAAATCAATAATTCACCAATCAAATAAATGTATTTTTTATCCGACCACAAAGTGTCTTGAGCAGGCTCTAATTGTAAGAAACACTTTTAAACCCGTACCATACTCAGATTAATCCCTGTTCGCACCAGAACAGCCAAATTAAAGGGCAAAGTGCCTAATCCCCGTTCGCATTAGGCCGACTCAAATAAAGCGTAAAGTGCTGGCCAGATTGATTTTTATATACGAAGCGGGTTCGAACTCTCAACCTTTATTAAGGGACAAGAGTGCACGGCGGCACTCACCAACTAAGCTGGTTACCAATCAATAAATTAAAACCCCTGCCCATCCAGCACTATAACCCCACACTCTCTGCACATTAAATTTCTTCTGATCTTCTGTGAAACAAAGAAAGAAAGAAAGAAAGAAAAATGGATGTTGATGAGGAGTGGGAAGTGTTGCCAGAGGATGGGTTTCTTGAAATCAATGATGATGGATCTGGGAAGAACATCTTCTCCAGAAAATACAACACAGATGGTACTGACTTCAACATGAACTACACCTACTTCGTCTGCCCTCCACCTCCAAAACCTTATTATTCTTTCCCAATTCCTCGACCCGACACCGACAAAACCATCCCAAGTTTCAGAAACACCGGCTGGGCAAGACAAGATATCGCAGGTCTGCTTCAAGAAAATGAACGATCATCATCATCAGGCGGCAGCCGAGAATATGAAAATGGACTCGCCCAGGTCATCACTAGTAGTTGTGCCGCAGATTAGTGATGATGATGATGTAGGGGGAGGAGGAGGAGAAGTTTTCGAGGATACTAAGGATGTTGTTTCATCACCCGGAGTCGGAGTCGGAGGAGGGGGATTCAAGAAAACGAAGACGGCGGCGGGGGGTTCAACTTGTGGCAATGGAGTTTGAGTGGAATCGGAGCGATTTGTTCATTTGGGGTTGCTGCTGCCACCACTATATGCATCGTTTTCATCGAAAATCAACAGAAGCCACAAAAGGCAGCACCACAATCACAACATCCGCCTTTCAAATCTATACTCATCACGATAAGGTTTGCTAATTAATTATACTTTTTTTTTTTTTACCAGCATATCAGATCAGATCAGATCAGATGAATCATCATAGCTAGATATCATCTAGGATAGGTGCCAATTAACTTCAATTTAATTTATTCGAGTATATATGGTTTCATTTCTTAATTAAGGATCATTTTTTCATGAGCAGGGTCTGGTTTAGTTTCGTAGTTTAAATATAAATGTGATACTTTTAAGGGAAATGTAATAATTATAGGGTATTTTTGAAAATTTTAAAAATATTTTCTAGAAAATGAATCATTTTATGAAAAATATTTTAATTTTGTAGTGTTTGGCTAAATGTCAAAAAATTATATTTTTTTATTTGGATAAAAGTTAAGAAATTGCATTTTATTTTGTTTGGTTCATTTTCCTAAAAATGAATATGTTATTTGTTACGACGACAACAACCAACAACAACAACAACAATAATAATAATAATAATAATAATAATAATAATAATAATAATAATAATATAATAATAAGTGACAATGGTGGTGGTAATAATAATCCGCAAGTAGCATGAAGAGGGAAGAGAGAGAGACAGGAAAATAAGTAATGTGAAAAATGTTTTCCCACTAAAAATTTAAGAAAACATTTTTCATCAAACTAGGAAAATAAATATTTTCCTTTGACTCTATTTTTTTTTTTTTAATACCAAAACATGGAAAAATCTAGAAAATGATTTTTGGAAGTCATTTTCTAAGTTTCTAAACTGACTCTTAAATCAAAATATAATAGTTAGAAGTTAAAGAGTTAGGAAAGTTATAATATTTAGGATGCAAAATGTAATACATACTTATAAAAATCCGATGCTCTTATTGATCTGGCATTTATTTAATTAACTTGTTATAATGACACTACAAATACACATATTTCAATGTTTTTAAGGTGTGGTGATGATTAAGACATTTCACTTACCTCAGTGGATTAAAACATAATTGCAGAGGATCAAGGAAGTGGTTCAGCATGCAAGCAAGTTAAACGAGGCCATATCAACGGTGAGGGGAGTTCCATTCACCAGAGCTCACATCACATTTGGGGTTACTGCGATGCCTTTTAGGGAAAATATATATATATATATATATATATATATATATATATATATATATATATATATATATATATATATACACGCACGCACACATATATATAGATCTACTTGTTGTGTGTCACCTTCATATCATTATATCCCAATTTATAGGATCTATTTATTTTGTGTACATAAATATTTTGAGAGATTCTCAAGTGTATTCTGATCTACTATGGTCGTCCTAGATTGTGTCTCTGTGTTTTGTCTTTTAAAGAAATAATTAAATAAATAAAAATCACTTATTGTTATTTAGGGGAAGTATATGGGGTCGTTTACTTTATTCTTCTGTTTTTCCATTTCCAGTTTTTCATTTCTCCATTTTTGCAGTTTTCCTTTTCCATTCTTCAAGTTTTCCTTTTCCATTTCTCCAATTTTTCATTTCTCCAGTTTTCCAATTTTTATTCCTATTCATACAATTTTTCATTTTCTAATTTTCTGATTTCATTAAATACAAAAATCCCATATAACATTTCTACGAAAGAAAAGAAGAAGAACAAATAATAATAAGAATAAGAAAGAAGAAGAACAAAAGAAAAGAAAAAGAACAAATAATAATAAGTAATTAAAAAGAAGAAGAATGAAAGAATAGGCAAAGTGAAGGCATCTCCTTTAACTATGCACAGAACAAGATTCGAACCGGAGGCCACTCCAATAGTATGCACTGTTCATGCGCATCTTTTTCCCTTCATTGGAGAAGGTTGGAGATTGGAGAAGGAGTAAGCATTTGGAAGAAGAAATTTAGTAAACAACTTCTCCAATTTTTATATTTTTCCATTTCTCAATTTCTCCATTTTTTCAAATTGGTAAACGACCCTATGTTTCTGGGCAATATTTGAATACATAAAGTATAATAGAATTTCTCCATAGAAGTGCATATGGTTCTTTATTGAGTTCATTCATTCTTACAAAATCTTTGTTTTTTGATTGCCAAAAAGTGATAAAAAGCGATGGTTTGTGAATAAAAAATTGACCTTTTGACCTTTTTGGTATCTGAAAAAACATTTGTCATTTTGTCACATATACAAGTGTTCAGTAATATAAGCACCTAATAAGATTTCAAACATTTTGGAGAACTAGAACTAGTAATGATAGTGTTGGAAAAATACAATAAAGTGACTATTTTGTGGTACAAATATATGTGGATTCACATTTGATTTGGATCAGGTAAAAGTGGATTTTGGATTCTTTGAAGTGAGACGAAGAGATTGATATATTATAGTATTATATACTCAAAATGAATAATGGGTGAATGAGAAATTGATTCTCAGAATAAACCCATTTGAGTTGAAAAATGAAGATGAAAAAAAAAAAAAGAAGGAAATTTGCACCACTATATATATAAGAGTCTTTTCAAAACAATATTGAATAAAGAGGTTCTCTACATTTTAACTTGTGCTTGTATTTTTTCCAGAAATATCGTAAGACTATTTCGCTACCAGATAGCAGATGGGTTTATTGGCGTTTTCTACCACCGTGGCAACTGGCAAGTAGGTGGAATTCACCAATGGTTGAAATTTTTAAAAAATTAAAATTAAGAAAAAAAATCATGATGAGTCAAGTTTTTTCAATAACCATAACTATTGTTATGTATAAATATTTCGAAGGTGGAACCCAAATTTCTACCTTCTAGTAAAATCTCTGAATTTCTCTTGCAAAAACACATTATTAACAATAATTATTTTCCTTCATCTCCTACTCCGCCCAACAAAAAAAATAAATAATAAATAATAAATCTTTCATCATCCTCCCCTGCCCCTCGCCTCCTGATGAGAACTATATAAAACTGTATTGAATGAATTGTATAATAACTGTACGGACATGGAATATATACAAGAGGAATCATAGAGACTAGGATAGGAAGTGGGAATCATTAAGGAGACTAGTCCTAATACTCCCCTCAAGCACATGGTATGCTAGTAACCTGTAGCTTGTCTTTAAGAAAAGAAAATCTAGAACTAGGCAAAGCTTTTTGTGAATATGTCTGCAAGTTGATCTTTTGTTGAGATGAAATTGACTTGAATATCTCCAGCAGCAACTTTATCTCGAACAAAGTGATAATCTATCTCAATGTGCTTGGTACGAGCATGGAAGATGGGATTTGCACACATATAAGTAGCACCAAGATTATCACACCATAGTTTAGGGACAGAGATACCTGAAACTTTGATCTCATGCAGTAGTGAAACGATCCAAGTTACTTCATCACAAACATATGCTAGAGCTTTATATTCAGCCTCAGTAGAATATCTAGCCACAGTTCTTTGTTTTTTTACAGACCAAGACACAATATTAGAGCCAAGAAACACAGCAAAGCCACTTGTAGATTTTCGGTCCTTCGGACAGCTAGCCCAGTCAGAATCAGAGAAGGCATGAATTTTCCTTGAAGATGACTTTTTGATTCGTAAACCAAAAGTAACAGTTCATTTAACATACCTCAAAACTCTTTTTAATTGTTCCCAGTGTGAAACTGTAGGAGCACGCATGTGTTGACACAACTGATTGACTGAAAATGAAAGATCAGGAAGAGTGACAGTTAAATATTGTAATGCACCAGCCAAACACTTGTACTGTGTAGGATCATCGTACAATGTTGCATCAATAACCATGGTTTTCAAAGTAGAAATATGAGTAGATAGTTCTTTACATTATGCCATTCCAGCACGTTTTAGAATGTCATTCATTTACCTCTGTTGTGAAAGAAAAATTTCATAATTGCATTTAACTGTCTCAATTCCAAGAAAAAATCCAAGTTCACCAAGATCTCTAATTTGAATGCAGTAGAAAGTTTTGACACTAACTGAGTAACTAGATCCTGATTACTTCTCATCATAAGTATATATCCCACATAAACTAATAGATATACACAATCAGATCCTTATGAGTAGTAAAACAAGGATACATCCGTTTTTGATGCTTCAAAACCAATAGATAGTAAGAAGGTGTGAAAACGATTAAACCAAGCCCTAGGTGCTGTTTTAATCTGTAAAGAGACCTTTTTAGCAAGAAAATGTGATTTGGATACTGAGCATCAATATAACCAGGTGGTTGCTTCATGTACATAATTTCATATAGATTTCCATTTAAAAAGACATTATGAACATCAAGTTGCCTAACAGTCTACCCAGATGATAAAGCCAAAGAAAAAGTAACCTAACAGTAGTTGTCTTGACCACTTATTGAAGGTGTCAAAAAATCTTGCTCAGGCACCTGATTGAACCCTTTTGCTACTAGTCTTGCCTTATGTCTCTCAATAGAGCCATCTGCCTTTCGTTTTGTACGAAAGGCCCACTTACATCCAATAATATTCATACTTGCCTGTGATGGTACGAGAGACCATGTTTGGTTATGAAGGAAGGCATTAAATTCCTGATCCATGGCTTCACGCCATTCTGGGTACTTAATTGCCCGAGTTTAACAAGTGGGATCCGAAGGACAAGCCTGAACCGTTAAAGCTGATGGTGAGCCTGTGACCTACTCCGAGTGCTCATCACATGAGTCCGGACGGTGGAGCCTTCAA